GTGAAAATGACATTTTATCACTACTTCACTCACTACCACTGCATGATGACTACTAAAGACATACAATTAAGGATTCCTGTGAAGACGTTTCATCACTACTCTATCCAATAGCACCAGACAACCACCGGCCTCTACCACATATCCACAACCGCCAACAACCACCACTAACTACCTTCAATGTTAGTTACCATTGCACAGCCTCCATGTCAATCAGCTACCTCCATAACCAATCACCAACACCAACCTCCTTCATGTGACTATTACCTACACCTCCACCATCACCACCAACCACATCCATTACCAATCACCTCTACCACCAGTCATCGTGAACAACCACCATCGCCTTCCACTGCCAACAACCACTATCGGTCACAACTGCATAACAATCACCTTTGGCCACAACCATATACCTATTCACCAGCCAGGAATGCACGACCGCCATCACCAGCCACCTCCCATCAATCACAACAACCACCTACTGCCACCTCACAAGTTAGAACTATCACAATTGACCACTGTTGCTGGCTTTCAAAGTGTGCTTCATCAAACACATAATTTTATAATACCACATAAGTTAAGCTTTTTTCTAATACTTTGTTTATATAAGATTTAAACAATAATTATTGTTTATTTGAGTTGTAAATTTATTAGAATTTAAATAAAGATATATTATATCCATTCAGATAATGAGAAACAAACAGTCTTCATTATCCCGTCTTCAAGTTTAGAGATAACATCTTAATCATCAGATTCAGACATCTTTTAATCATAAAAAAGGGCTTTGAAATGCCTCATATGCTTCAAGCTCCCTCATTTAGAAATAAGCCATGTAGTAGTTTAAAGCCTCCTTTAGAAATAAGCCATGTAAAAAATAGAGGTTTAAGGGGGTACAGGAAGGCATACGTAGTAGTTCTTTTAGAGGATTCGGTGTTATAAGAACCATGATTGAGGGAACAAAATGGTCAACAGATCATTAATCCAAATACCTGATATATCTTATCCCTACAAGTTTATGGTATAATTATTTTCTGTTGGCTCTATCAGTTTAAAGATTTGAAGCTAGTTTCCCTATTATAGTTGTGTTGTCATTGCAGGATTCAGCTTCCTTGATCTTTCTTCTGCATCATCACTTCTTTCAACTGGTGAATATGGTGGTCTTTCTAATGCTATACCCCAGTTACCAAGGCGAAGCCAATTGTCCATGACCCCTAGAGCATCAAAGGATGTCCCCTATAGTTACAGATTCCCTCCGATGACCAAAAAGCCGAGGTGGTGGTGGAGAACCTTAGCATGCCTCCCTTACTTGATGCCACTTCACGAGACTTGGATGTATGCTGAGACAGCATATCATCTCCACCCCTTCTTGGAAGATTTTGAGTTTCTGACATACCCTTTCCTCAGAGCTATTGGGAGATTACCGGGCTGGTTTTTAATGGCGTACTTCTTTGTTGCTTATCTTGGTGTAGTGAGGAGAAAGGAATGGCCTCATTTCTTTAGGTTCCATGTGGTAATGGGGATGCTACTCGAGATTGCCTTGCAGGTTATCGGGACTATAAGCCGTTGGATGCCACTGGCGGTATATTGGGGCAAGGTTGGCATGCATTTTTGGACAGCCGTCGCATTTGCGTATCTGTTCACAGTTTTAGAGTCCATAAGATGTGCACTTGCTGGGATGTATGCTGACATTCCATTTGTGTGTGATGCAGCTTATATCCAAATACCTTACGATTAATGAAAGCCAACATATAAGGTCCTTGTACCTATGTTACTTGAACTCTCCAAAAATGTTGTTGCACTTGTGTTGGATCCGACACACACCCATCGATTTTATTGAAGAGTCCGAGCAACATAGCTCTGTACACATGAAAAATCATGTTTCTTATGTCTTTTTGATAGAACATCAACACAAAGGAAATCTTTTGTGTAAACTGAGTTATTTTATTTTCAACCTTGTAAGATCATCAGATAACTTGTTTTGCTACCTTCACTGCCTAGTAAATGCTCTTGTTTTGTGTACATATAAGAGTACTAAATTTGAATTTTATCTTTTTATTTTTTTGCATATATATCCACTTTGGATATGCAGTGTCCGAAGCTCAGGCAAAAATAGTTGGACTTCAGTCATATATGATCGAGGTTAAGTCATTTTTGCCTAAACACCAGATAGAAATGGTTGAAGTCAGGCAAAATGATTGAACTTCAGCCGCATATGTTGAAGTTTGAGCAAAGAAAAGGTGAAGTCAGACAAAAATGGCTAAATTTCATACCTCAATTCTTATGTGTCTGAAGTGTGGCAAAACCGACTAAATCTTAGTCATGTTCGCTTGAACTTTGATCATATGTGTATAAACTTTGAATATAACTCCCCGATATCACACATCAATGATTGGAGCTTTAGTCATATATAACTTCAAATATTGCGTTTTGATTTTATCAAGTCTAATTTCAGACACGGTATATATAAAGTGATTATATAAACTAAATGACGATATCAAAACAAGTTGCTTTAGTGGAACTTTTGCCACAATTTTTCACTACAAACTAAAGATAAAAGAGTAAATTTTAGGTTTAGCAAACATAAAAATCACATTTGTATGCTATAACTATAGTTTGCATAATTGTGCTCCATAGTAAATTTTATGTTTGCTATGGAGCATCAGATTTGTATAAATCGCAAGCAGGCATTCATTTGTATAAAAGTGCAGCGATTGCATATGTATATCGGTTAGATAATTGTATATATGTAACTACTATGTATATATCAATGATTGTGTTTGTATATCTGCATAGAATTTGAATTTATATACAATTGAATCGAAATAAAACATTTGTATATCAAATCTCTCTGTCTCTCTCTCTCGCTTTATACAACACAAATTATACATTGTAATTTGTATAAAGCGAGAAAGGCAAAAGAAAACTGATAGGGAAAGATTTATATTTGTATAATTATAAGTGTATAGGACGAAAACATATGTATTTGTATATACAGTATTTGTATTGCGTTTGTGTCAAAAAAAAGTGAGAGAGGCGAGGGAGAGTGGCGAGCGAAATTCTCTGGGGAGAGAGGTGAATGACAAGTGTTTGCTACAGATTACAATTAAATGAAATTGTGATTAAAACATTTAATTTAAATTAATAATTTGCTATTTTATATAATTTTCCAAGAAAATAATATTTGGGCTATGGCTTATATCATGTTGGACTTGCTAGTAATGGGCCATCGTCACTTAACAACGTATGAATAGTTCACTTAATTTGAAATTTTTTTTGTCAATAGCTATTAGACTGGTGGTGGTCTCCCCAATGACACGAAAGGATTTATATTGTGGTCCATGGGGCGTTGAAGCAATGATAATTTTTTTTTTGTGATATTAGGTAATCGATTTGAATCATGGAAACATTATTAATGCATTGGAGCAATAATAAAGTCTGTCTCCATGTGACTTTTAGATAACAGATTCAAATCGTGAAATCAGGCGCTAATGCTTTTATAAGAGTAAGCCATCAACAACACACCAGAATCGATTCTTTTATGTGTCTTGTTTGTTAACATTGAATGTTTAGTGCCTCAATTTACTTACATTAGACTAGACTATCTACAACACATCTTTTGAGGATCGATCTTTTTCGAACCCTACTAATGCAGGATATTTTTATGCACTTCAAACAAAATGGAGACCCCACCACATAGTTCTATGTCAATCCCCTCAGAATTTACGTTATGTGTTTTTGTTATCCAAAAGAAAAAAAGTCTTGCTCTTTATGTCAAATCAACAGGTACCATTTGATTGATGCTTTATAATGATTAGTCTTTGCCTAAAAATTTTCAATTGCAAGGGCGGATCTATATGGAGTTCAGGATTTATCTGAATTTTTTGAATCGAAAAATGATATCGTATATATAAAATCAACTATGTATTTTATGTCTATATATTTAACATCGAACCCTCTCAACAGAAGTAATTATCTTATGTGTAATAACAATATGATAATTAAACTATTTAAGGATAAAAATAATCCGTAGGTAAAATTTGAAATTTTAAAGATAAAAATAATATGTTTCCAAATTTTTAGGAAGTTAATTTATTTTAGATAATTGAGGTTTTTTTATCATGCTTTTAGGAGACTACAATAATAACATATTCAACATAAAATTTAGCAAAGGTGAAACTGATCGCATACTTTATTTCTATTTTCATGAGATTTTAACCAAACTTTTAGGCAAGAACATAGATGCGTTCAACACAAAAATCATAAAAGAAAAAGTAAGCTTTTCCACTATATACTTTTTTAAAAACTTGATAAGTACAAATTACTCCTTTAATATTAACTAAATAAATTCTTAAAATTAAGTTATCAAATACTTCTTCTATCCCATTTTATGTGACACTTTTCATATTTCGAGATTTAAACAAATCTACCTTTAACGTAAATTTTTTATAGATCTTTTAAATATTTTGAATTCTCAACTATTGTGACTTATAATATTTTTTTACGTAATTTACAAATATATAAATTTTATTTTAAAAAATTGCAGATTTCATGCGCAAAATTTTGGTTAAACCTAAATCGTTTGATTCTCAAAAAATAAAAAATGTCACATAAATTGAGACGAGACAGAGGAGAGGAAGTACTTTTTCAAAATTAACTTTTCAAATAAGCACTTATTATTATTTTAAAAAGAAGAAGATAATTTAACAATATATTCTCCTTCCACGTGTCATGATCTCTCCTACCTCATCAGCCAGCTCAGCAACCTAAATAGGTCCCACTGACACGTCATTATTAATCCAACCAATAGGATAGCGAGTTGTTCTCACGCTCCGTAAATTTTGAAGAACTATCAGTTCCACTTTTTCGGTTCAAAAAAAGTTACGCCACGCCACAAGCTTTACTGCGAGGACCACAACTACCTCCACTATATCCATAAAATACCCAAAACACCCTTCTATTTTCATCGAATTTACTCTGCTCTGCCATTGCGTACATATAGTATTCATTACAAGTTGGCCAGTGTTTTTCTTTTTTCATTTTCACGAGAAAAATGTTGGAATTAGTGCCTCCCGACGGCGATCACGGCGGAGAATGCGGCGGCGAAGAGCTGCTGTTGTTGATGGAGACGAACAATGTTGACAGGTCATGGAGGTTGAACTTCGATGAACTACGGTTATCGTCTGAGAATAAAGAGAAACCTCATCCTCATGGATTACATGATTGTCTCGGTGTATTGAGTAAATTTCTTTTAACTTTTCACTTGTTCTTCGTCGTTGTTGAGTAGTTTTTTTAGTGTGTTTTTTGTTTGATTAGTTGTGTTATTGTGTTAGATTGATTGTTAGTGTAGTGAATCGAACGGAAACATGTTTAGGTAGCTGAATTTAACTAATTAGGGATAGATGAACAGTTGATTTTGATATGTGCTTAGGATGAACTGTAGTTATCGTCTGAGAACAAAGAGAAGCCTTCTCGTGGCCTCTATGAGCTCACTGATTCTTTCGACGTAGTTGTGATTCACTTTTTACGACTACGAGTAGATTTTTGAGTGTTGTTTTTCTGTTGTTTAGTTGTATTAGGTTGATTTGTAAGATTAGTGAATCAAACGAGAGTTGTTTACGTAGAGCGGAATGTATTTAGAGGATTTATAGAGCTGATTTCAACTAATTAGGGATGGAGGACTAGTTGATTGATTGATATTCTCTTGTGCTTAGGACGAACTGCAGTTATCATCTGAGAACAAAGATAAGCCTCCTTGTGGCCTCCATGATTGTTAAATTTCTCCAGCTCTGTAAATCATCCATATAGGTTGTTGTGGTTCACTTTTTACGACTCGGAGTAGATTTTGAGGTGTTGTTTTTCTATTGATTAGTTGTATTAGGTTGATATAAAGAGTAGTGAAGTCGATGGAGACTTGTTCAGGTAGAGTGGAATGAGTATGGAGGATTTATAGAGCTGATTTCAACTAATTAGGGGTGGAGGAATAGTTGATTGATATTCTGTTGTGAAATTTTTGGGGAAGTCTATTTTTATACATCAATTTGTTGCCACGTGGGTCCAATCTTTTGAAGAACAATAAGATTCTTGTATGGATGGCTTAAAATTTGCAGAAGATGTTAAGCAATATTTTGTGCTTTTTTTTATTGTTCTGTAGACTATTGAACATGCTTGATGCCCAATTCAATGGTTTAGAGAAAATTGGCATATTATGTATTTAGAGGGATGATTCTTTTTGGATGGTTACTGTAATAATAACATATGCTTTTGAGCTCAAATTTAATGTGTTCATCACTTCAGCTAGTGAAAAAAAGAAGGGAACTTTAGTTGAGTGCACTCGGTGGGCAAGTCTATTAAGGTCATGAGTTCAAGGGATCCGTTAGTTTCCTCAATGTCTCTGCAGTGCTTAGGTCAGTGTAATAGAACATGTGTAGTTGGGTGTGTGTGTGTGTGTTTGCTTGCTTGTGACATGAGCTAGTCAATAGATTGTTTGAGAGGCTACTTTCACATTTTCAGTTGAACTGTTAAATATGGCCACGAAACTATAACTTTCGGATTTATATTGGTACTTTTAAAATTTGTTATCAACCTTGATTAATTGATATGAGTGGTATCATCAACTCTTTGGGTTAGTTCTGAGAGGAGGCTATAGTGTTTTATAGAGATGCATGTAGAAGGGACGGCTTGTCACACTTTGTGTTTTTATCTTTGGTGCTTACAGGTCAAGAAGACAACATTGCCGTTTACTACCAGCAACAGGAGGAAATGCTCGTGGGCTTCAATGAAATGGATGCCTTGGCTGATCGTGGTTTTGTACCTGGGATGTCAAAGGTTTTGATCATTTTTATCTGCTTTTTTTATATGTACAAGACCATCTTCTATATGTATAAAACCAATCATTTGTTCCTTCTCTGTATGCAGTCATTCTTCTCTTATTATATATAACTTGAACGCCTGATCTTTTAATAATTAAAAAAAATGAATGACTTGAAGCATAGACTGACAAGGTCAATTAATTTGTTTACAGGAAGAGAGGGAAAAATTGGCCAGAAGTGAAACAACTGCCATTAGGATATCAAATATTGCAAACATGGTTCTCTTTGCCGCTAAAGTATATGCATCTGTCAAGAGTGGTTCATTGGCCATCATAGCATCCACATTGGATTCACTGCTTGATCTTCTCTCTGGTTTCATTTTATGGTTTACAGCTTTCTCCATGCAGACACCAAACCCGTATCAATATCCTATCGGAAAGAAACGCATGCAGCCTTTGGTTAGTGCCACTGCTTTTATTCTCCAAGTCTTTCCTAAGCCTTTAATTGGGGCAATTTGCATTCTGCACTTGTCAGTTGCTGTTGGCTAATGTGCATGACTGCATATAATAACTATTGCCTTGCTTGTTCAGGCAATAAAAGTTGTCTAACTCTAACAAGGTAATTGTACTGTGCATTCTTGTGGCATTTGATTCTAGAGGGACCTTAAACACTTTCTCTTCTATTTTTAGTTGATGCTCATGGTAAACCTTAATATGCATTTTGTTTGTTGATGCAGAAAACTTAGCCTTCTTCTTGAGATCAATCTCTAATCATGACATCAGGTAGTCCAGAAACAAAAGGAAAATTTCCACCTAAAGTAAAGAACCACGAGAAATGCAAAGTTAATTCATCTAAGACAAATTAAATGAATTACAATAACAATCTATCTGATATTAACCAACAACAAAATGTAGAAGTTGGAGAAAAAATGTGCAAAATTTTGATAATGACCTGTAGCAGACAGCTTACATGACTACAATATAACCTACAGATATTCAAATCTTCAGCATCACTTTCTCCAATTGTTGTCTTCTTAGTGTACCTTGAGTGGAGAACCAAATCAGTACGTTGCTGAGACAGAAAGAATGGTGAGAGAATATAGGTGAAGCTGGGGAAAGGCTACTAGGCAAGGGAGGGAGGGAGGGAGGAGAGATGATAAAGACGAGACCAGAAGGGAAGGCCGCAGAGAGATTGAAGCTGATTTGTCATAGTGAATTTAGTGAGATGAAAAAAACAGACTGTGGCTGACAGTAAGAAGAATGAGAGGGGGTGGTTCTGAAGGAAGATATGAAGTGTCTATTAGTAATTTGACAATATTTAGGTGCTTTGTTTGGACTGTGGGGGGTGTGTGTGTGGGGGGGGGGGGGATGAATACGGTCTATTCCCTGTTTATGGTCTCTGGTGGAAACTGATGCTTCTAGCTACCCATATGCACCATTTTCTCCACATCACGTTAGTATTGATAGCCATAGTGTTGGCGCTAAGTTGTGATCCTCAAATCCATTTAGTTAGTAGTACTTTGGTGTATACACATATAGACATCTATAGTTTCAATATTATCATCTCCTGATGTTACCTATAACAAGCCCATCATCGCCTGATGTTCTACTGGTCCAATGTCTGAATAGAACTAAGGAGGGATCCTACACTTGAGCTACGTTTGGGTTCTTACATATTTTTGTTGCAGTTGATTTATCCTGTGGCTCATTTGGATTATCAGAATTGACATTAAGGACTTGCTCTTTTAATTTTCAGTGAGTGTAACTAGTCTGGGACATGAATTTGGTGTAGTACTATCATAACAGTTGCATTTTAGTTAGGAAGCTTATGAAGCACATCAGAAGGAGGATTATTGCTCTCTAGCTTGGTCGTTTGAAGATAATTTTTCCTAATATCTGTGAATTAACTTAAGTACCTCTGTGAAGTTTTACTATAGTGCTTAGTAAATTGCCATTTTGGAGATACTAGTCTATTTAGTCTCTGTGTTATCTGTTCAGATAAATTTGACCACCTTGTTTTAATCAGTTCATAATTCCTTAGGATCGTGGGATGATCCCTCTGTAAATATGATCAGCTTATTTTGATATTTGAGGTGTTTATTGGCCATTAGACATCCATAAAATTGCCCATACGTTGGCAGAAGGAGTTTTTTCTTTTGTTTCTAGAGAACCATTTCTAGAATATTGTCATTTTCACATTACATGATTCTAAGGATATGATTTCTTCTCCCATCATTTATTGCTAGCAAGAGAAAAACAAAAGAAGGAAGTTTTTGATTTAGATCCAGACTCTATGTAACTTCCACTCTTTTTCTGATTGTTGTGTTGAAAAAGATATAGTCTGCAAACAAGTTTTACCCTGCATGCTGGCTGATCCTACTCAGTTGAGTGGTTTTGCATATTGTTTGATATTTCATGGAGCTAGAGCAAAGTTCAGGTGTATGGCTATCTTCAAAATGCATTTCTTGTTTCCCGATGGGTTCAAGTTGAACTCTGTATTAACTTTCAGTTTTACTTATATTATTCCTACATATCTGGTGATAGCAACGTACATGCATGAATAGAGATATTGTATGATTGTTTTCTATTCTTCTTTGGGAGCTGGTCCAATTCAACTTTGAAAAATGATACAGGGAATCCTTGTATTTGCTTCTGTCATGGCGACTTTGGGACTGCAGATAATTTTGGAGTCTATGCGTACACTAATATCCGATGTAAGTCGTGGCTCCTAATATTACCAAGTTTATGTTATATTTATGTTGTATTGTCTGGTTGAAAATTACATGGATTTTTAGGAGTCTGATTTCAGCCTTACCAAGGAGCAAGAGATATGGGTTATTGGGATTATGGTTTTTGTGACTTTGGTGAAACTAGTTTTGGTGTTGTATTGCCGGTCTTTCACCAATGAGATTGTGAAAGCATATGCCCAGGATCATTTCTTCGATGTTGTCACAAACATCATTGGACTAGTCGCGGCATTGCTTGCTAACTACTTCAGTGGCTGGATAGACCCTGTTGGAGCTATGATTGTAAGTTGTATCTCCTTGATGCTCTTCCGTTTGGCCATACACAACAACATTTCAATATTTGCAAATTATGTTTTGGCCATCAATATTTGCAAATCCTGAACTTCAGTATTCGAAATAATGGTGAAATATTGAACAACTGGTTTGGGGAGTTACAAGTGAATTAATTGTTTTCACTCCCAAATACTCTTTTTTCAACTTCAAGCAAATATTGTCCAAAATGCTCATGCTCTCACTTCAATCAATGTTAGTGGCTTTAACCAATTTTCCATCTGCTGCAGCTCGCGCTGTATACCATTCGAACATGGTCAATGACCGTGTTAGAGAACGTGAACTCTCTTATCGGTAAGGCAGCTGCACCAGAATATCTACAGAAGCTGACTTACCTCTGCTGGAACCATCACAAAGCCATAAAACATATAGATACAGTGAGAGCCTATACATTTGGTTCTCACTACTTTGTCGAAGTTGATATCGTCCTACCTGCAGACATGCCCTTACAAGAGGCGCATGATATCGGCGAGTCATTGCAGGAGAAGCTCGAATTATTGCCAGAGATCGAACGTGCCTTTGTTCATCTCGACTATGAATACAGCCACAAACCTGAACATGCACAGGCATACCTATAATCAAACGGATATTGGTAACATCTTCTCTAAACACTGTACTTAATATTATATACCACAAGTGAACTTTGTAATGCTATTCGAAATCGGTCAATCTGGTGATTGCTCTTAAAAGAAAAGCTACTATTATCTGGTAGAACAGGGATTATGAATTATATTTTTGTTAATTTATCCTGCTTATTCATATAATATAGCTGCCATGATTCCTCAGTTTGCTAGCTCCTGATATATCTTATTAATCGAATCAATAAATTTTGAATACCGACAAAGAATTGTTGTACAATGGAGAAATATTCCAAGATAGGCTCACTAATAACTATGTTCTTTCCCAGTCAATTCACTTTTTTAGTTAAAATGGGGCATGATGCCACAATAGTTCTGGTTCCTCTTTTGCATCAATTGTGCTCCACAAGAACAGTGCTCAATTCCCTTTGTGGTCTCCATTTACCTTTAACTTTTTTGTTGGTATTCCTTGTCGAGCTTTCGGAAACTATTGGGTGGGAGAACGAATAATCGACTGTTAAAGATCTTAAATAAAAGGGAAAAAGGACAAATATACCCCCGAACTATCGTAAATGGTATGCAGATATCCTTCGTCATACTTTTGGGACATTGGTACCCCTACTGTCCAAAAACTACAACATATATACCATTTATACTAATGGACATACACGTGTCATAATCTTATCCGCCGATTAAATATCGGATCGACGGATAAGATTGTGCCACGTGTCCCTATTTAGTCTTCCGTTAGAGTGAAGGGCATATATGTTCTAGTTTTTAGACGGCAGGGGCATCAATGTCCCAATAGTATGACGGAGGGTATCTGCATACCATTTACGATAGTTCGAGGGTATATTTGTCCTTTTTCCTTAAATAAGATATTAATATGAAGACATAAATCATGTGTTCATTAAATTGATGTTTACACCATATGCAAATGTTTTTTTGTTGCGTTGTTGTGTATTAAGAGGTATAATTCACATTACTATGTAAATATTACGATAAAAAGAACAAATCGAAATCATAACGAATATGGTGAAAAAGATGAAATCTCTCTCCTTAATTAAAGGTTTCAGATTATAGCCTTGGAACTGGAGAAATTCTTAGGGAAGAACTATCCTATTAAATTGGCTATTGGGCAACATGAATTTGAATTAGTGTATTTTCCAGATACCAAATGATTTCTAATAAATGACTTCTTTTAATTTTTGTAAAACTTCATATGTAGAAACAAATTCAGTTTGTCTCATGAGAAACTTTGAAGGACAAAATAAAATAAATCTAGATAAACATTTTTTTTTGGATAATTTTACTTGCCAAAAATAAAGGAACATTTCTAGTTGTCTGTTGTTCTTAAAAAGTCTTCTTGAATGTTTCTAAAATTATTTTTTTAAGTAGTGGCCAAAAGTATTACTTACATCACTTGCAAAAACATTTTTTTTAATTCCTATTTTGTAGAAAATTCTCTTTGATGTATTAAATTACATTTAAGCCAAGCAAACTTTCCAATCTTTTCTAATAATATTGGCTCTAATTGGAATGGAAAAGCCCAAAATGGAAGAGGCAGCAGAAAGAAATTAAAGGCATACCATGTTTATATATTTTATCTAATCTAGCAAAATATAGATATCATTTTAAATTAGCTTTAAGTCAAATTCAACGTTTCCAATTCTTTTGTTACAAGATATAAATAAAAATGATTTTGAAATCTAGATATCTGATTATAGTTTATTGAGAACATAACCTTGGATAGAAAGTTATAAATTATGATAGAAAGTTAGTAGATAATTGAGTATTATTGTCTCGTTTATCTTTCTATATTAGTAGCCGTAGAAGTACTCTTGTAGTTTCTTCTTTTTCCCTTTTTGTTATTGCTTATTGTTTCTTTTACTTTAATTACGCTATATTGTATTGTTGTAATTATTGTTCCTTTTTCGTAATGCTTTATCATGTTTTTTTTTTTTTTTAAATTGCTTTGAATTGTTTTGCCTTGAATCAAAGACAGTGACATAGCCAAACAATTTACTAGGAGTTTCAAAATGTAAAAAATGAATGGAGTTAACATACAATGTTTGTATATAAAACTAAATTTTAATCTAATTAAACAGTGTAATTTTTCAATGAATGAATGTCAATTAAATTAACTCCCTTATACTAAGATGGCTCGGTGATAAGGATCTATCGAAAACAACCTACCTATCATTTAAAGTAGGAATAATATGTTGCCAATCTGTGTTTAAAACCAGTAGTACTGATTCCAATAAACTTTGCAGAAACACGAAGTTATCAAAGTTTAATGAACCAGTGAAGAACAGAAGAACAAAAATTAATTCAGCAACTAAAATTTGTAACAACGTACCAGAATCTGGAAAAACATAATAGAAAAAAGATCAAACCCACTGAATGCACAGTGTCCCCTTAAGGAAGTTATTCCCCTCTAGTATCCGAGGTTTGATTTGGAATATGTCCTCCCAGGATAAAATGATCTCAATCACCAGTGTATTGATACCCAAAACTCTGGTGTCAACAAATCACTCAACAACAGTGAAGTACACGAAGAAACTTTGTGCAGAAGAAGAAGAAATCAGAAAAATTCATAAGGAAAAAATCTGAAGAATCAATGGTATTTATAGCCAAGAGGAACTGGTTCCGAAAGGTTGCAACCTTTCAGAATCCACACGACCATTCTTGAAAGTTTGCAACCTTTCAAACGATCATGGTTGTTCCTGAAAGTTGCAACCTTTCAGAACAATCACTTCAAACGGCGGGAAATTCAAATAAAACGGGAAAGTTTAAATAAAACGGGTCGCGCACAGATCCGAGTCGGATCGGTCAATTAACTAAATAATTGAAACGTTTTGGTTAATTAACTAATTAATTGAAACGATTTGGCCATTTAATTTAATTAATTAAATAATTAAAACAAACTTTGTCAAAAAAATAATCTCTTGATCATTTTCCAAAGCCAAAGCCAAAACCAAAGCCGAAGCCGAGCGACGACAACGGCGCGAGGGGGGGTCCTCTTTTCAACCCTTTTAACAATTAATATGAGTGTTTCTATATTTAAACTCTCATATTTTTCTTTCCACCACCGATGAGGGAGAAATGCTTTTTCACTAAAGTTATAAATAAAAATGATTTTGAAATCTAGATATCTGATTATATAGTTTATTGAGAATATGACATTAGATAGAAAGTTATAGCTTATGATAGAAAATTAGTAGATAATTGAGTATTATTATCTCGTTTATCTTTCTATATTAGTAGTCATAGAAGTACTCTTGTAGTTTCTTCTTTTTCCTTTTTTGTTACTGTTTATTGTTTCTTTTACTTCAATTACGCTATATTGTATTGTTGTAATTATTGTTCCTTTTTCGTAATGTTTTATCATGTTATTTTTTTTTTTCAAATTGTTTTGCCCTTGAATCAAAGATAGTGACGGAGCTTAAAATTTGACTACGAGTTTCAAAATGTAAAAAATAAAGGGAGTTAACACATAATGTTAGTACATAAAACTAAAATTTTAATCTAACTAAACAATGTAATTTTTCAATGAATGAGTGTCAATTAAATTAACACCCCTTATGCTAAGATGACTCGGTTATCATGACCTATCTAAAACAACCTATCTATTATTTAAAGTAGGAATAATATCAATATATACATTATCTTCTCCAGATTTTACATATGAAATTACACTAAATATATTATATTATTAATGTTGTTGTAGCTATCTAATTAAATAATAATTAAGCTAAACGTGCAAGTGATTTCTTGCACGTCTCCCCCCCACCCCATGAGGAAAATGAATTTTGTTGCTTTTAGTGTATAATTACAAGTGGGAATGAACCTGCCCACCTATGTGTCTTTATACACTCTTGATCTATTTGTATGGAGTAATAATTATTCAGAGAAGATTTGTTTTTTTTTTTTCCACCCGATATTCAATATCTACTGACTTTTAAGTTTGATTAATTCAAATTTATATCAAGGAATTTTACTTTATAGTGAAACGTTTTTATATCAAAGATAATTTCATATCCAATGTTTTAGGGGCGGATCCAAAGTTTTACCTAGGGGTGTTCACGGTTTGGATAAAAACCGATCCAAACCGAAAAACCAAACCAAACCGATTTTATTTGGGTTTGGTTTGGTTTTAGATTTTTGAAAACCGATAGTATTTGGTTTGGTTATGGTTTTATTTGAAAAAAATCGAAAAAATAACCGAACCGATGAATTATATACATATATTTTATTAATATACATACTTAATATATTTTTTTATAAACAATTTTAAAGATCTTATACATATTTTCATTAAAATTTCTTTATAATTTACTTATTGAAAGCAAAAATTCCCAAGATGAAACATTTATCTTATTGATTTCATGTATATGAGTGTCTATGATAATTCTTTGTGGGACTGAAAATGTTATTTTCTCTTCCTTCTAGACCAATATAGCGAATTTTAAAGTTTTATTGATAGTAAATTTAGTGATTGAAAGTTCAGTAATTTAAGTCATTCTAACTATTTTTCGTTTTGAATGGATTGTTGTCACTTTTATCACATTTTAAATGAATTGTTTCTTTTATTTTTGTGTATGGTTAATAACCGAATAACCGAACCAAACCAAACCGATAAATGTATATTATATTTGGTTTGGTTTAGTTTGGTTTTGATAATTTTAAAACCGATTAAGTTGGTTTGGTTTTGGTTTTGACCAATAACCGATCCAAACCAACCCGTGAACACCCCTAGTTTTACCTATGCATTTGATAGGAATTCAATAATTTCTGCTCCTACTGTATATATGTTGAAATTTCACTTAATGTTCATAAATATTTATTTGTGAATTCAACTAATAATATTGAAAATTAGTTTGAGATTGCCGCACAAATTTATAAGTTTCAAATCTTTATTTCGTCTCTGATAAATATAGAGCTCAAATACAATTTTGGCTAGTCCAAATAACTTTTTCTCAAATAATATATATGTGTTAAACTTTTTATTAAACACGTAGATATATTGGATTTAGAAGTTAGTATTAGTATTTGAAGTTACATTCTAAAATCTAAAATTCATAAAGTTAAAAATTTCAACTTCTTTATTTTTGCCCGAAAAAACTAATTAACGATAAATCAAAGGAATACGTATGACTCTATTATAATTTTTGGTGGTACTATTCCGACAAACTAATTTATCCATA